CACGTGCGAGCAGGATGTCGCATCGACCCTCTAGCGCGTCGTCGCTGAGGTGCTGGAGATGGGTCGGGTGAATACCGTCGAGGCTGCTGGAGGTCTTGACGCTGAACGTACCTGCCGCGTGACGGGGCTCAGCTGGAGTCGGTCGCTGCATGGTGGAGCGGTCGGGAATCTAGGCCTGTGGGGCTGCCGTCGTAGCCCTCCATAGCTTAGCGTGGTCCTTGGCGACGTAGTGCGGCTGGCCAGTGATGCCGTGCTCCGCGTCGTTGACCGTCGTGGGTGCCTGCGCCTCTTGCACGTAGGTGAGCCGATGCAATTTGTCAGCTCCCCCCGCGCATGCACCGCCGCACCGCTCCTTCCAGCGTCTGTTGGAATCCTTGTTGGCCTGCCGCATCGCGAAGTTGATGTCCTCGTCCAAGTCCTCGAGGAGGCTGGCAGTATCGTCCTTGCCGCAGGATTGCTGAAATAGCCTCCTCGCCTGCCGAACATAGGCGTCCAGCCTCGCGCTCAGGTTCTGACCTATGTATTCCGGGCCGAGGAAACCTTGTGCCTCATCCTGGGGGATTTGAGATCGTGCTGCATTGCGACCACTTTTCTATGCAGTCACCAGCCCCTGCAAACTGTCTGGCAGCTGTTTCCATCCGTCAGCGGTAGCCTGCAGCTCCGTCTCCGTGACGCTCGCGTGCTCCTTCTCAGTCCACTGCGGCTGGAGGGCGCGCGCATATGAGTGGACCCGTGCTTCCGTGCTGGCGAGGTGCCCAATCCGTTCCGCAGCGCGAACCGCCCAGCGCCCCCAGGCTTTGGGGGTGAATCGCCAAGCCACCGTTGCTTGCTCCTCCTTGGCCATCCCCAAAGCCTCTGTCGGGAAGCCCCGCTCGATCGACCAGCTGTCCTCTTCTAAGAACGGGCCGTTTATGACTTGGGAGGTGAGACGCGGTTCCCCCGCGTAGGTCAGCCGTAGTTGAACAGGCCCATGAGGTTTGGTAACCCAGCTGAGATCCGCATTGCATGGCGCCAGCGTTCGCATCGCCCCCGTTGAGCCCGAAATAGTCCAGCGTGGACAAGGAGGAAACCGTCCTGCAGGTGGTGTGCCTTGGTTTCGGTAGCTCGAGCTGCGCCTGCGCAGCGAAGGTGGAGTCACGAACCACTTGGGCCTCCTTGTACCAGTCGCATCCGACGATGCACGTGTGGATCTGGCCAGCCATCGCCAGCCCAGTCGTCGCGAGGATCTTCGCATTGCGGGCGCCCGTTCCCTCTGCCGTATGGAGGTGGAGGTTGTAGACGTTGATGGGCGGCCAGTTGGGCAACTCCAACACGACGTGTTGCACCCTGCCCGCCGCCAGCTCCGATCCGCGGGCCACCGTAGAGCTGATGGCTCCCGCGCGCCTCGGCGGGGCATCGGCTGGGCAAGTCGGTCCACGAAGCCCGACTCCTCCCCAGGAGAAATTTGCAAGCCCTGCTAAGGGTCGATTTCCTCGTGCTTCTTGCCCTGGAACCACGAGAACCTGCCAGCGATTAGCTGCCGCCCAACTGCTGAGGGCCTCACACTCGTCTGCGCCATGACCTATCTCCTGCGCCAGAACGACCGTTGCCGTCGTTGTGCGGAGCCTGCGCTGCAGAGTCTTTCTACCTTGGTTCGCATTGAATGTCTCGGAAGTGTGCGTCGTTATGAGCATGGTGGGGACGTCCTTCTGCACAGGGGACCTGAGCCTATTGCAGATTCCGCTGATGTGCGGCTTCGGGTCATCCACCCGGTCCTCTAGTACGAACCGATCCTCCATCCGTGCGTCGGTGCTTGGTGTTCTGCACGCTCTCAACGGCGGTCTGGAGTTGCTCCTTGGCCCATTCCGAGGCTGGCTGCGCTTGCTGGCTGAGGATGGTAAATAGGGCCTCGAGATCCTCCTTGGCGAACTCGACCAGCTGCGCCGCCTTGGCGCCACGCTTGTTTGCGCGGCTGGGGGGCGTGTCCTGCTCCATGTCGTCTCCGCCGCCGTTGTGTGGACCATCAGGTGGAGTCGCAGTTCCTTCTTCTGTATCATCATTGTCATCATTACGATCAGGCACAGGAGCTGAAGCAACCGCCGATGCCAGATGCCCATCGACCTTCTTGGATAAGGCCTGCTGGATCTTGGCGAAGTGGGAGCTGGCCTTGAACGCTGCCAGCGCCTCCTGAGCTTCAGGTGCTTGCGCCGGCAGCTCATCGTCGTCGATGTCGAAGGCGATGAGATCCTTCGCCGCGAGGCTGGCCAGCTTCGCCTTCGCTGTCGGTAGCTCCCCGCGAGCCTCCAGCAGCGCGCACTCTTGCCGAACCGCCTCGACCTTGAAGACCTCCACTTCAACCCTCTTGGCCGCGATCGCCTCCTGCTTCTCAGTGGTCTCCTGGCTGATGCTGGCGAGCTGCTCCTGCAGGCCCTTGAGGTCAGCTTCGTATCGGTCGAGCTGCTGCCTGCGCTTTGCCAGCTTCTGTGTCGTCGCTTTGTGCGCGGCTTGAGGAGGCCGCAGCGCACGAGCTTGCTCTCGAAGCTTCTCCAAGACCTTCTGGTGGAGAAGGTGGAGCGGACCGCCATCCTCTTCCACCTTGCTGCACTCCTTGAGGGCCTTCTCGTGGTACTTGATTTTGTCCTGCAGCACCGTCTTCTTGTGGAACGTGTTATTGTCGCCATCCTCGTGCGCCTTCCTGCCGCCGCCGTTGCCGCCTGCCGCTGGGCCAGCGGGGGCCGTCGTCGAAGGGCCACCTTCTTCGTCAGCGTCCGCAACTGCTCCTCCAGCCCGCCGTTGTAGTCCTTGGACCACGGGGCCGGCCTCCGCAGCAGCCTTCCTGAGGCGGCAGCACGTGCTCGTGCAGCAGGACGGGTTTCCCGTTTGGCACGAAGGTCCTGATCCGCCTGCTTGGCAGCGTCGACCACGCACCGCGGAGCCGACCTCCCGCATGAGCACGTGATCCTCGACGCCCAGTTGTTTGCCTTGCCGCGCGAGCAGCCCCAGAACGGCAATTTGGGGCCCCGCAGCACGCGCAGCTCTGGTGGCCCAGGCCCAGGCGCCATCCTGCCTGGCGAAGAGCCGTGGTTCTCCTGCAGCCTCCGCGCCGCGAGCCACAGGCGATCCTGCAGCGCGGGCGACGACTTGCCAGACCAGGCGCGGAGGAGGGCGCGGTCCTCCGCGCGGCGCGAGCGCGCCTTGTGGTGCGCCGCCGCCTCCCGCGGCAGCGCCGTGGGCGTTGGTCCCAGCGCGCGATGGGGGGGGGGGACGCCCTCGGCTGCCAGGCGGGCGCCCAGGGGGAATCCGCCTCCTCGCGAGCCGAAGCTGGAAGAGGAGGAGGAGGAGGAGGAAGAGGAGGAGGAGGAGGAGGAGGAGGAGGAGGAGGAGGAGGAGGAGGAAGACAAATAGGAAAAGGAGGAGGAGGAGGAGGAGGAGGAGGAGGAGGAGGAGGAGGAGGAGGAGGAGGAGGGAGGAGGAGGGGAGGAGGAGGAGGAGGAGGAGGGAGGAGGAGGAGGAGGAGGAGGAGGAGGAGGAAGAGGAGGAGGAGGAGGAGGTTCTTTTTCGCCGTCGCCCATGGGGTGCCCGCGCGAGAAGAAGTTGATGTGTATTCCAGCGGCCCTTTTTGAACATCTGCCGAGGAGCAGGAGACTGCATAAGCATACACAGTCGTAGGTCCGCGCGGATTCCTTGGATCAGCGCCTGGGCCCCATCGCGTTGCCTCCCGGCCGCCCCTGGCGCGCTCCATGCGCCAGGGAGGGGGGTCCAGCACCGATCCAAGAAATCAGCGCGGAACTCCGAAAATTCCTTCTTCTCGTGATGGGCATTCCGTGGCGTTTTTTGTCTCATGATGGTTGCTTTCCAGGGATAGCCTGTATCAGAAGAAGTTGCCGTGGATTCCAGCTGCGGGTTTCTTACCCTTTCCGATCCCCCACTCCGCCCCCATTGTGCACCACCCGACGTGTTGGAATTGGTAGATTTAAGGAGAAGAACTCCCGGCCCGCCTCGCACACCTTTGCATACCGCGGCCGCCAGGCCCAAATTGTGCTTGTGCTCACTGGGTGCCCCGCCTCGTGCCGCCTTCGACGAATGACGACCGCATACCGCGGCCGTCAGGCCCAAAGTTTGCTTGCGCTCCCTCGGTATCCCGCCTCGCATGCTTGGGTAGGGATCGCTGGGAGCAGTTTAACATTTTGAGCCAGTGTTTTCTAGTTCGGTGCCGTAAGTGGCCTCTGGGGGGCCCCGTTGGGGCCCTCCCACACGGTCCCCTCTTCTACTGAATGTGCTGGCGTCCTCGAAGGCGCTCGCAGATCGCCTGCCAGGCTCGCTCCAGCCAGTCACCCGTAATTCATGTCAGCGTGTGCCCGAGAAGTGGAATAATAAATTTGAAAGCGATGCTCGCTAGGGTGCTAGAGAGCTGGCTGGTGGGATTTGGCCTCCGCTAGGACCCTTAACAGCGAAACGCCATTCCGGAAGAGCGGCACGACGCATCACACCAGGGTGTGCACGATTTCGTTTTGACGCATGATGTGCCACGTGTCTTTCGAGGGATGCGGTAAGCTCTGATCACACATCGATTGCTGACGTATATTTCTTCCCCCTGGCCCTGGCTGGTGGTTTATCTTCCCCATGCAGATGATCTGGTGTTTTTGCTGCTGGTGAAGTGAGTCAGACGGTCGCGACGGCGAGACTGCATCATTATTTCGCATTGTCCAATCGTCTTGAATATGGGCACTAGCATGTCCGCACACGTCACTGAGAGAGCGAGGTTCTTCCCCTCGTTACCTGCTACTCCCCGGCCGTGCGATCAAGGTTTATAATCATATCCTCTCCGTCTCGGATTTCCGGACTCTCTTCCGTCGAATTCCCGAGACGCAGTGGATATGGGCGAAAATCTGCCCTTCGGCGAGGCCAGATTCTTCTCCACATCCCCTGCGTTTCGTGCTTTCGGCACGCCTTCCCCAGAAGTCCAAGACGCCGTGGAGACTGATGCAGCTCCTGCCCGCGCTCCGTGCTCCCCCGGCCAGGATAGTGATGCAGAGGGTCCCAGCAGCGGCGCCGAGGATCCCGCGCCGCCCTCTCTGGGGCCGAGGCACAGGTGCCATGGTTTTGTTCTTCGTGATTGTGCCGCGTAATGCGTGGTGCGTGATATCGTGGTTGTGGTGCGTGCTTTGTGATAGGCGACTCGTGTTTCATGTTGCGGGGTTCGTTGCTTGGGCCTCGCAGTTCGGGATTTTCCACACAGCAAATTCTGCAATGCCCTCCAGGATTCATTCTAGGATGCATGTAGGGGCAAGCTCAGGATGACACGCCAGCCCTGAGGAAATTGCTCCAGGGTCTACGCATGGACAAACATTGTAGCGCCAGATGTCTGGGCCTTGAAGAATCTTAGGGTGCAGCTCCTGGGAGGTTGAATTCACAGTCGGCGTTGGAGGCTCCCTGGTCGAAAAACCGACCTTCTCTGGCCGAGTCCCGCTCAGTCTGGCTGAATCCCGTCTGAGCCGCCTGAGTCTCGCTGAATCTGGCTCCACCTCGGGCTTCATCCAGCCTGCTCTGGCTCGGTGGCCCTGCAATCGGGTTCAGTTGCCATTCTTCGTTCTAGCATCAGAGGCGACGATAGGGGCGAATAGCCCAGGGGAGAGCAATACATGTATCCAGGGGCGCCGATGATCCATGTCTTCGACGAGGCTCCCGGGCGAATACGTGTAATGCCCACACCTCGGCCGTTCGCCCTTATCGTTGCTGCCGATAGCAGAAGACCTCTTGGGAGTTGCCTCCTGATGGCTCGGGGGGTAAAGGGAGCATCCTTGACAAGCCCGCCGCCGTGGGGAGCCCGTCGGCGAGCAGCTCCTCTTCCTCTTTTGCCCCAACAGGCCTCTTGTGCCTCTCAGGAGGGAAGAAAACACAGACACAATCAGTCGTCGATTCCCCAGAAATATGGGAACACATTGGAAGTGTGGGGGGGAAGACGAAAGCTCAGAAAATATGGGAAACGATGGGGAATCCGGTTATTTGTGTCTATTATCTTGCACATGGTGTCTAGAGCTCCGACCACATTATTCCGCGTCGCACCCCCCCCCCCGCGTCCCCAACGCCAGAGTGGGACCCCTGCGACGTGCCTCTCTGCCCCGAGCCCCCCCTCGTCCCCAGCGCCCCAGCGGGAGCCCCGCCCACTGCCCCCTCCGCCACGAACGCTTTATTCCGCGTCGCCTCCCCCTCCCCCCCCCCCTGGCGCCCCCACCGCCAGGGTGGGACCCCCGCGACGTGCCTCTCTGCTCCGAGCCCCCCCGCGTCCCCAGCGCCCCAGCGGGAGCCCCGCCCACTGCCCCCTCCGCCACGAAAGCTTTATTCCGCGTCCCCCCCCCCCCCCCCCGCGCTCCCCAGCGCCAGAGTGGGACCCCCGCGCCGTGGCTCTCTGCCCGAGCCCCCCCGCGTCCCCAGCGCCCCAGCGGGAGCCCCGCCCACTGCCCCCTCCGCCACGAACGCTTCATTCCGCGTCGCCCCCCCCCCCCCCCCCTGGCGTCCCCAGCGCCAGAGTGGGACCCCGCGCCGTGGCTCTCTGCCCCGAGCCCCCCCGCGTCCCCAGCGCCCCAGCGGGAGCCCCGCCCACTGCCCCCTGATTCCGCGTCGCGCTCCCAGCGCCAGAGTGGGACCCCCGCGCCGTGGCTCTCTGCCCCGCCCCCCCGCGTCCCCAGCGCGCGGGAGCCCCGCCCACTGCCCCCTCCGCCACGAACGCTTCATTCCGCGTCGGACGCACACCACCTCCCCCACCTCCCCACCCGCGCCCCCAGCGCCCCAGCGGGGGCTCCGCCCCGTCCCCCCTCCGCCCCGACAATTTTGTTCCGCGTCGCGACGCACGCCACCTCCCCCCCTCCGTCCCCAGCGTTCCAGTTGGACCTCCGCCCCGTGGCCCTCTGCTCCAAGCCCCGCCCAGTGTCCCCTCCGCCCCGACCATTTAACTCCGCGTCGCGGCGCACACTACCTCCCCCACCCCCCCCCCGCGCCCCCAGCGCCCCGGTAGGAGCCCAGCCCAGTCACCCCCAGCCCCCCCGCGTCTCCAGCGCTCCAGTAGGAGCCCCGGCTACAGCCTCCTCCGCCACGAACGTTTTCTTCCGCGTCGCACGGCCCCCACCGCCCAACCCCCACCATCGTTCTCCCCTCCCCGCCCGCCCAGTGCACCCTGCCCCCCCTCCGCTCCGACCATTTTATTTCTGCGTCGCACCGCCCCCGCCGCCCCGCTCCCCCGAGACTTCTCCGCTCCGATTTCTCGCCCCCTCTCTCGCCCCCTTTCCTCCTCCTCCTTCTCCTCTTCTTCTTCTTCCTCCTCTTCTTCCTCCTCCTCTTCCTCCTCCTCTTCCTCCTTCCCCCTCCGTTTTGCGCAAGAGCCATGGCACGCATGCCACTTGTTTATTTCCCAGGGCCCCTTCAGGTTCTTCAGCAGTAACCCGCGCTGGTGGGTTCCCACCGGTGGCGTGGCCTGAATTCAGCTCGTTCTCACAGGGTGACACGCCTTCTTTGCTCTCGCTT